AGTTCACTGTCTCTGGGGCATGAAACTTTCCAGCCCCTCCCATATAGATGGTACCCCATATGTAACAATTAGAGAATCTGCTTCAGCATCAAGAGAGTTAAAATAAATGAAAGGAAATCAGATTTTAGAAAGAATGTCATTATCATCTGTGCAAGCATTTCCTCTCTATAGATAAAATTGAGATGACAAAAACAGATACTGTCTCACCTCTTGCCTTTCCTTCCCCTCCTCTTACTTAGGAAGACTAAGATGGCTCAAACCCATCCAACCCTATGACGGGCCTGTATTCTTCAGTGGCCTGACCATCAGCCAGCCCTGGCTGGATACCAGAACACCAGGAACACGTCCTGTGATGCTGACTGAGTCTTCTCCCCTCCATCATCCACTTCTGATTGTTGATCAATCAATACTGGTTGTGCTCTGAGTCCAGCTCTGTGCACTATGTGGAGTGCAAGAGATGGTGAATTTTGGTCTTTACACTTAAAGAGCTGCTGGATGCTTCCAAGGGGCCTCAGAAAAAAAGTGGGCAGCCTTAGAAAAGGATGGAACTGAGAAAAGAATTTCAGCCAAGAACTTGAGATGGAGAAGATGCTACTTAACTAACTCAATGTCCCCCTAACTTCCTCTCTACTCAAACAGCAAGGGCCATTCCTGGGATGACTTGCGTGCAATGAGATAGAAGCAGGGATCTCTGTGTAAGGTTTGTACACAGGATTTGTGAAAAGGATAGATCTAGATGGCATGGCACTTTAGCCTTTGTTTCTTCTCCCTTTTTTTTCTTTAGGGGAGATGACTGTGAGGCTGCAGGTGGAGATGCCATTGTTACAGCCAGGGGTAAAGACAGAAAGAAAGTGTGAAGACAGAAAGAAAGACAGATAGAAAGAACCTTCACTGACAGCTTTGGGCCAGACTTGATAACCCACATCCAGATTTTTCTTTATGCGAAGAAAAGTGAGCCTCCTACTTGCTTAAGCTGTCACTCTTCGGGTGTTCTGTTACTAGCAGCCAAATCTATTATTAACAGGTTCATCTGGCCTTAAGAGGAAGTAGCTCTGCTACAGTGGAAAGCACAGTGGTCTTGGAATTGACCTTGGAATCGAGGATTTGGCTTTACCTTCTAGTACTTCAGCTTGCATACCAGGGTAAATTATTACTTAACTTTCTGGGTGTTTGTTTCCATAATTTAAAAAATGGGGTTAAATAAACTTCTCACACACATGGGGTCTCCAGGAAAATAGGAAGTGAAAGTATCTTTATAGAGTAAGTCTCAGCTCAGTAAATATCTGAGAAATCTATTGTTTTGAGAACACAGAAGGACATTGAGGAAGTGGAGCCCACCAGGAAGATAAACCGAGCAAGGAGAGATGGAATGTAATTTAGAAACAGATGTGGGATCATCAAGAAATACCACACAAAGGGAGAGTGGGCAAAACATCCTGCCTCTGACAGGGATCTGAATCTGGTCTCTTGTGGAAACCTCAGAGCAAAATGGGATTGTGGCCTAAGGGATCCTGTACTCAAGGACTATAGACCTTCCAGAGAATTCCCAACACCAAAAGGAAAGAAGCGTCTTCCTTATTAACATTTCCCTCCTCTCTCTCTCTTTTTTTTAAACTTTTCCTCCTTTCCTTCCTTTCTTTGCAAAGAACAAATCATTTCAAAACCATGCAAGACAGGTACAATTTTTTCTGACTTGCAGAAGTCCTTCAAACTTCTAATCTATTAAGCCTATAAAGAAAATACCTGCCTTTTCGCTTTCCCTCCCAAAGGAAAAGAGCATCCACCCTACACTAGGCATCCTTTAACTACTGGAAATATCATGATGAATGAACTAGAAGACATCCAATATCCTGATGCAGGAGATAGACAATAAATGAGAAAACAAATTGGACAATGTCAGAAAATGAGAGGAGCTGCAAAGAAGACAATACAAGTAGGTAAAGGAACAGAGCAATAGTTGGGTGTGGTGGTATGTATCTGTAACCCAGTTACTCAGAAGATGGAGATAGGAGGATTAGACTGAAGCCCACCCTGGGCAAAAGTCTGAGACCTTGCCTAAAAAATAACTAAAAGGGATGGGGGTATGGCTCAAGTGACAAAAGTGCCTGGCACAAAGTCCTGAGTTAAAATCCGCGTAGAAGGAGAAGGAGAAAGAGAAAGAGGAGGGGGAGGAAGGGGAAGGAGGAGAAGGAGGAAGAGAAATGGGAGGAAGAGGAGTGGGAGGAGGAAGAGGAAAAGAAGAGGAGGAGGAGGAGAAGGGAAAATGAAAGAGAGAGAGAGGGAAGGAGAAAGAAAGAAAGAAAAAGAAAGGGAGAGAGGGAAGGAAGGGAAGGAAGGACACAAGGGAGGGAGAAAGGGAGGGAGGAAAGATGTACATTGAACCTGATGTGCAGAGGTTAAGTGAAAAGGGAGGATCCAAGGAAAGCTCCATGCAGTGGAACATTCATGCTGGGCCAGAAAGAGGATCCAGCCTCTCTCTCCCTGCAGGACTCCTGACATCATTATTTGATGGACTCTCAGACTCTCCTTCACTGCAAATGTATTTCCTAGAGTCTCTTGGGTCCTGATTTAGCCCAAAATCCATGGTCGCATCCTAATGGGCCCCACTGTGGGTCTTCACGGCTCATCAGAACCACAAATGCAGGAAGAGACAACCCTCACCATGGCGAAAGAAGAGTACAAGGGAGCTGGGGCTGGGCAAGCCAAGCCAGGAAGGCAGGCAGCAAATAAATCACCTCCATTTGCTATTTCTTATCTCATCCTTTTCGTGGGATTTTTTGGGGGTATTCTTTATCACAAATATGATATGTTGCTTGGAAAACAATAACAGTGAATACTTAACCGTGATTGCTTTGAGCATAGACGTTGTTTAAAGTGTTCACATGTAGGAATTCAGGTAATTTGCATGACAACTTCATGCTGACATTATCCCCACGTGCTCGATGAATGGTTTGCCTGGTTTGTGAGTGGCAGGGATGAAGCCAGGCAGTCTGAAACTGTAATGATTTCTTTTAACCTTTACATTGTACACCTTTCATGCACACTTGTTTACTTTTAGTATTATG